AAACACTGGACGACAAGGGGGAGCAGAGTCGGCCTTGGAGAGTGGTCAGGATGTGAGTTTTTGTTGAGTGGCTCTTGTGCGCATCCATGTTCCTGGCTCGGTAGTGGGCCAGCAAGTACAAGTCCAACACCCTGCTGCTCATTTTGTTCATTCGGTCATGGTACTGCCTGCGTCAGCCAGCACTGCTCAGAGCTCACTCCCTTTCTTGCCAAACCTGGATTCGATTGATGAAAGCAACACTAAGGAGACGTTGTGGACACGGTTTTCAAAGTGGTGATTGGCTTGCCCGTCATCTAAGATCCTCAGTTTGATTTTTTTCCCCACTGTAATTTGCCTAAAGTTACAGAATGTGTCATAGGTCTAAAGGAAGAAATGTTTTGTACTCTTCAGAGGTAGAAAGTAAATGATTTTTAAAACCGAGATATAATCGACATGGCATTGTATTAGTTTCAGGTGTACAGCAGAATGATTTGATACTTACAGTACATATTCTCACAGTAAGTCTGGTTAACATCCCTCACCACACACAATTACAGTGTTTTTTTCACGGTGAGAACTTTTTAGATCTACCCTCTTACTAACCTTTAAGTACACAATAAAGTATTATTAACTGTGGTTACCATTATTTTGTCTGGAGAACACGCACACCCAGTTATAGCTGCAATTCAGGGTCACATGCTTTAAGGCTTTATATTCAGGAATTTAGAACTTGGTGATGGATTGACTTAAAAAGTGACTTATTTTACAATTGCTGTGAATAATCAAAGCAGGAGTTTCATTGCTTTGAGAGAATCAGCAAAGCAAGATATCTCAACATAATCATCGTTTTCCTCAATGTTTTTTTTTTAAGATTTTATTTATTTATCTTTAGGGGAGAAGGGAAGAAAAGAGGGGGAGAAATATTAATGTGTGGTTGCCTCTTGTGCATTCCCTGCTGGGAACTGGCCTGCAACCCAGGCATGTGCCCTGACTGGGAATTGAACCGTGATCCTTTGGTTCGCAGGCCCACACTCAATCCGCTGAGCTACACCAGCCAGGGCTCCCTCAACTTTTTATCATGGAAATTTTCAAACATACAGACAAGTTGAAAGAATACAGAGTGTAATGAACACCCATTTACCCACCACCCAGATTCTACAGTGTTAACATTTTACTGTATTTGCTTTGTACAAGTCTCCCCATCTCCATCCATCCATCATCAGTTCATTTTTCTGGACATATTTCTAAATAAGTCACATGTAACAGTCATCACATTTTACCGCCGAGCACTTCAGTATGCATATTATAAATAAGTTGAAACGCTTCAAACTCTTTTCAGGTGAGATGTATAGACCAAAATGCATATGTTTTAAGGGTGCCATTTTATGAGTTGAGGCAAATGTCCACACCCATGGAACCCCTGCTTCTGTGAGGGTAAACCCGATAGCCCAGAAAGTTCTCTCAGCCCCTTCCCAGCCAGCCGTGTCCCCTTTCCCCCCCTTGTTAGTTGTGCCTGTTCTTGAACTTCATGTGGGTGGAACCAGGCAGTATGTGCTCTTGTGCGAGGCCACTTTCGCTCAGCATCACGTTCTTCCACTTCGTCCTGCACCTGCAGAGATACTTGAATGCCAAGCTTTGCCTGCACCTGGCTGGGTCAGGTACCCTTTTCAAAGATCATATTGTCAAATGATGCAAGAAGCAATTTCTTTTAGGTATTTGTGTATATTGATTAAGTCTCATCCTCCCCTTTCCCAGCAGGGATGGGATGGTGAGGCCTGGTTTGGCCACGTCCTGTCTGACCGGGTCTCTTCTTCCTTTCCACCCTCACGTTCTGAGAACCAGGTGTTTTGGTTAGTCTGCGAACACGGGCCCTGGGGCCGGCTCCCACCTGCCTGGCGGCTCCAGCCAGGATCTCTCACTCCTGAGGAGCTGGGTCCTGACATATTACCTGTCTATATTGGTGTGTGCTGCTTGGAAAACTTTAGGTAAAAAAAAATGCAGTGGTTGATTTTTGCAAAAGCTTGTAAAAGAAGTTTGATGGGAAATAGTTTTATAAGGCATCTCTGAATAATTAATTGAAATAAAATTTCCTGGCTTCCGTTTTGTGACACTATGTGAAGGAGATTGGCCAACTGAACCTAAAACGTTAGAAAATTGAAATAAAATTGTACGTGACTTAATAATAAGATTCCGTGCTTAGTTAACCGCCCCATTGCTATGCCCACTGTTACTGAAGTTCCGAGTCGCTAAGTCCTTCCAGCCATGAGTAAAACCACCACGTTTTCACCAGCTGTGCCGGTTTACCATGTTTTTCCCTCTAATCACTGTGCTGTTGGCATGTGAAGGTTGTTCTTTTAGGCTCCATCAGTTAGGGTAGTCTACTCACTCTAAAAGAGACTCCAAAATGCAGTGTGCAGACGAGAGAGGAGTTGACGTCTCGTGCCCTGGGTCTGGGTAGGTGGCTGCTATCCTCCCCATGACCCCTGGGACCCAGGCTCCTTCCCACTTGTTTTTCACCACTGGGCCTTGGCCTTGGCCTCACTGCTCAGGGGAAGCCCACTGGGCATGTCTGCTGTCAGCCAGGCTGAAGAGGGAGGGAGCCCCTGGGAGAGGTCATCTAAAGGCCCCACAGGGTCTGCACTGGTCTGCTCTTTCCTCTGGGGAACCTAATGGCCTGACTACCCCTGCTTCAGGGGCGCTGGGACTGTCATGTAGGGGACTGTCCCTGAGCTCCGCCTGAGTGCTGTGGAACTGGGGCTGCCTGTTAGATGGTGGGTGCTCAGGCCCAGGCGCCCAATGCAGACTGTGCGCTCTTTGCAAGGCCCCGTTTGGGGAGGGACTCCAGTTATGGTGATGAGAGGACCGTAGCCACTCTCATTCTGAACATGGAGTGACTCTGCTAACAATACTTTCCTCAGTTGATTTTTTTTTTAATTGGAGGAAGTGCTGTCTTCTCAAAGTGCAGCTTAGGTCTGGGTGAAGGAAGGGAGGGTAGAGTCTGATACCAGTGAGATCTTGGGCAGGCTCTGTAACTGATAGGACTTGCATTCGCAGACGTAGTGAAGGACCTGGTCACTGTTTAGAATTCAGACTTGTAATGGAAGGTGTAAGAGGCCTTGGCGAAGGGAGTAACGGGGATCCTTCACCTGGGAGCCAGAGCAGCGCCCGAGTTTCCGGGCCGCAGACCTTCCCAGTGGCTGCAGGCCGCTGCGGCTTGCGTGCCATTCAGAGGCATTTCCTTTGGAGTCCGGGGGCCAACTCTGGCTCTGAGAGAGGGGCAGTGACGAGTCATGGGGCAAATCTTTCTGTGATGTCCACGCCTTCCTGATGAGCCAACATTATACTGCTGTCACCAAAAGATCTTCGAGCAGACTTTGCCACCACTTTGGAAGACTCTTGAAGTGACAGTGGAGTATGTGTCTCTTTGGGCTCAAGGGGTCAGGGCCGTGCACTGTGGGTGCCAGCAGTGTGGAGGTGGAGAGGGGCCACCATGCCTGGGCCCAGCTCTAGGTCCCCTCGTGTCACCCCGCGGGTTTGCAGGGCTGTGCAGAGTAACTGCGGTGGTAGCACACACGAATCTTTCAGATTCACCTCCTCACATCCTGATGTGCTGTGATCATCGCCCCACTTCCTCCAAAATGTTCAAGAGAAGAGCCTTCCACCCTGAGCAATGGGACTGCCTCCAGCTTTGGGCTTCAGTTCTTTTCCTCGGGGGCTGGAGTGTACACGTTCTTGAATGAAGATCTACGAGGGAAGGAACTTAGTGCTTGGCTTGCCAGCATTGCTTTCCACCAACAAATGCAAAGCGGGGAACAAACTCCTGGTTGCAATAAATGACCCTTAACAGTGTTTTCAGAGATGGACAGGCTGCCCGGGGTGATTTGATCAGGTGCACCACAGCATTTGGGTCATCTGGAAGTTGCCCTCATTTCTTCTCGATGGCTGTTCTCTGCCCAGAATACGTTACAGATGGGTTCTGCTGACTTTGCTAATTTTGCCAATAACTTAAGCATTGGAGGATGCAGGGAACCTCCCGAGCGATAAGAACACAGCTGCTAAAGGATAACAGAGAAGGGAGCGTTTCTGAGCAGCTGCAGATGGGGTGCTGTCAGCACGCACTGTGGCGCTGGGGAGTTTTTACATCTTTTTGTTTGTAGGGAACGAAAGGGCAGTGTGGAGCTTAGTCAGCGAGGTCAAGTGCATATACGTATGTGTCAAGGACAGGGCTCTGTCTCAGCTGGAACGTTGCACTCGCAGGGAGGAAAACTCGCCTGTGATTTATCGGTGTCTGACTCAGCCCCGCATTCCCACGCCTCTACCGTCTGTGTGCGTTGACTTACCAGTAATGGGCAAACATTGACATTGGCCTTTGCCCTTATAACACACTGTTCCATCAGCCAAACCCTTCACCATCTTCTGCTTTCTCTGTTACACGAGTTCTTGGTGGGCCCTGCAGGGAGCCTGGGCCTGTGTTGCAGGTGATGCCAGGCCTGTTGGTTGGCGAGTCTGGAGGAGGAAGAGGGGGGATGCTTCCAGAGGAGGGAGGTGTCTCAGGGGTCGCCTCTTCATGCGAAGACATGGAGGAGATGCTGAAGAATTGCGAATATTCTAGTAATCTTCACAGAAGTGGTTTTCGTTTTCCGCAGCACCCTCCCACTCAGCTTCTTTGCTGTTGCTGGACTCAGAACAAAGACTGCAAGGGCGCCCTGAATCCTGCGGGGGAGCCCCGAATCCTGAGGGCAGCGTGGACTCAGTCAGCCCACACCCTGTTGCCTTCTTGTTGCTCAGGTGTATGGGGTACAAGTTCTCTGGGTTGAAAAGCCCACAGCCCCCGAAAGGTCACGTTCGGTGCTCCTGGAATGGAGGTGAACCGAGTCGACCTACACCTCGAGTTGTTCGGCCACTTTATCCTTGTGGTTCTGGAGTTGCCACTTGGAGGTTTCTGAAAGGCAGACCTTCTAAATCTTTTCTTTGCATTTGTGTCTCTCCTTGGTTCAAAGTTTTTAGCTCTTGCTGCGTACTTCTGAGTGTTCAGATTCCAGCTCATATCTGGTCTCGTTGGCCGGCAGCTCGATGTCTGACACCTGTGAAGAGTGCGCAGGACCCTCTGACTCTGTGGGGGGGGCGGGCACCCGAGACCCCCGGTGCTCCGCTTTGCGCTGCTTGCCTGGGATTTCGGTAGCCTTTCCCATCAGGACAAGGGACTCGAAAAATAATTGTGCAAGGGACTTATAAAAATAGTATTTTCAGTAATTTCTCTTCCAGAGTAGAGACATTGTTGGGTTCATCCTTTCATCCTTTCAGTATTTTTAAATGTATTTCATTAAAAAAAACTGAAAACAAGGATTTTGCTTCCTGACACTTCTGTGATCCTGAGTTCACTCTCTTCTTGGTGTGGGTACTTTCAGTGTTAAAGATGACACAAAATAAAAAAGCCCCAACTTTTCATTATTAGATTTAACACCTAAAATTACATTCCTGTGTATGTAATGACAAAAACCATAACATAGGAAGAAAGAAAAGCGTTTAAAGAATTGTGCAGGTTGTTCACAGGAATCGGGCATGTAGATTACTGTCGTGAGTCACATTTACATGCGTGATTTTTTATTGTTCTGCATTGGAACCAAACAAAAGGTAGGCATGAAAGAGCAGTTCCCCATATTACATGCTAGTGACATAGTTTGGACAAGCACGTTGTTTGTTAGTAGTTACAGATTTTAACGTGATGAGTGACGCTAGTTTATCTAGTCAGGGTCAGATGGATGACACGCTATTTGCAGGGGCTAATATGTATTCAGGAGTTTCTGTGTTTTGTTTTATTAGGTGATGGGAATAGAAAAAGAGATTTTAAGACACTGTCTGCAAGTTCAGTGTATTCATTTTAAACCTTTACCCCTAAAGTAACTGAGTGGAGGAATTCAAAATTTATCTTTGGTCTGCCCTTGGTGGCTAGGTCTAACAATCTGTTCTGTGAGGTAATCGTATATTTATTTGTCTTCTGATGAACAAAAGGAAATCTGGATTTTGTGTACTCTTCTGTCACAGTTGACAGCTAACCATAAAACATCACAGTTGTCACACGGCCCTAAAGGGCACACTTGGTCCTGTGACTCGCCAGACCAGTTCTGCAGCTTCCGAAGGGGCTCCTGGGGTTGGATGTGGTGCTTGTCCTGAATTGTTAGCTTTCAGAGAAAGGAGATTAAAATTCTGGAATACAAACCATTAGAAAAGTGTTGCTTAGCAGCTGCCTTTTCTTTAAAGGGGGGATCTGGATTAGCATTAGATAAGGTTTGACTTCAGTAAGATGGGCCTAGAGTGCGGAAGGAGCTGGAAGATGGGGAGTCCTTGGAAAACTTGCTTCTGTGCTGCGAGTTTAAGACAGAGCATTGGGACGCCAGGGTCCCTCTGCCAGGCCGGGCCCGCCTGGTGCGGCGTGGCGGGCATTGCGGGCACCCTGCCTCTCTCACCTGGGGTGCGGGTCAGCTGCCTCCTGCACACAGACCACCTCATTTGTAAAGCATGCACGGGGGTGTGGGTCTGCAGCATGCCAGGAAAACTTTTATTGAGTTGCCAAGAAACTTCGAAATGTGAAAATAAAAACTTTTTTAAATTTGAGGAAGATGGTGCAGATGGCTAATGCTGTGCCCAGAGGGTGGAGGACGAGGCGCAGCTGAAAACAGGGCCCTGGCCTGTGGGTTCCGAGCCATTTCTTTGACTTCTGTTCTTTCAGAGTCTCCTGTCCATGTTGCAGGTGGCCTGTCCTCTGCAGCGGCCCCCAGGGGGACACTTGTGCTCATGTGGGAATCTGTGCCTGGTGAGGGCTGGGTGTGGGTGCGAGTGGGCACATGGCCAGCTGGCTTGACACCTGCGCCTGAAGACTTCAAGCCCAGCGGCTCTGCAGGGCCCCGGGCCAGGGGCTGAGAGGAGAAGGGAGAGGCAGTGCACCTCCCTCGCTGGTCCCCTCTCGCACCCACACCTTCCAGGCTGAGCTCTGCACGTTGCAATGAAGGAGAAGGTTAACAGTTGTAGGGGGTCGGGGGAGGCATTCACCCCCGTGAAAGCGGCACACTTGGCCCAGAGACGTATGCATGAGCCTGCTCACTGCAGTATTAATTATAACGTGAGAAACTGGGAATATCGCAGTGAGACGTTAAATTATGATTCTTCATGTGATCCAGTAATTTAAGTCAATTAAAGATCTTGTTTTATAAGGCCATTTAATGACATGGGAAAATGTTCATGGAATATTAAATGAAGAAATTTTCTTGCCAAGCAGCGTGTATGATAGATCGCAATCTCACGGGGCAGTTAAACATGCACATGCGTTAGCAGAAAGGGAGACGCTGAAACCCTTGCGTGGTTATTGCTGCTGGTTGTGTGAAGTGTGACTGCCATCTTCTTCTTTTTTGCATTTGTTGTACAGTTTTTCTCAAATGAACATAATTTTATGGAAAGAAAAAGCATGGCATGAAAATATCTGAATTATGTGACTCAGTTATATGTGTCCTTTAAGAACTGGTCGTCTCCTGGTTCAGTGTAGTTCAGATTATTTTATTGTAATCTTCCTCGATTTGTTCTTCTGATTATATGTATTTAACAGAGGATTTCAAGGCAAGTAATTAGCAAATATTTTTTAGGTACCTATTATGTATAATAAGTATGTTTTTGGTACATGTTACTTACCATGAAAGCATTTATAATGGAAGTTAGTATCATGTAGTAGATCTCCTTTGAAAATCATTTGCTTATTTTGTGTTAGCGTTTAAACATTATGTATTTTTACCCTTTTGCCTATCATCTTTCATTTAAACTTGTTACATAGGGAAAATATACATATGTACAATTTAACTTCAGGAATTCATTTTTATTATTAATAATATAATGTATTATTAATACATTAATAATATATAAGGTACTGGTAATGTATTATTAATGCATTAATACTATATAAGGCATTATTAATAATGTAAGGCACTGAATGACCTCCTTTTTATACACATTGTTTTATTTAACCTTCGCAGCTACCAGTCCTTTACCGTGGGGGCATCTTTCTTAGTTGGTATGAGTTAAATTAGAGACTTCAGCATTTAGTTTAAAAATACCATTAATGCTCTTTTTTTTTCAGTTTGAGAGCAGAGATCCTTTGATTTATTTTTAGCAATATAATTGCTGCACATATTTTTAGCAATATAATTGCTAGCCTTTGATATTATGCTTTTTGACATTTACATTGAAAAATAAAAATTAGCTAATTTGTAAGTTATAAGGTCTCAAAAGGACAGTTCATTCTTCTTCCACACCTGTTAATGGTGCTATTAAAATTCTGAAATGGCTTATTAAATTAAGTGCAGTGTCAAAGGCTGATTGTCTCTCTCTGAGTTGGCCTCCATGACTTATGAGAGCATGACTTAGGAATGAGGTTTGAGTAGCGGCCTGAAGTCGGCTTTTAGTATCTGCTGAGTGGTAATGATCGCAGACGAGACGTGTTCAGAGAGCAGGCGGGCCACTGGGGCGCTGTGACAAAAGGTGCCTCCGAAGCAGATCCCGGGTCACGTCCTTGAAACCGCTTGTGCACATTCGCGTCACACGTGCGAAGCCCAGGTGCAGGGCGTACACGTGCCATGTGCCCTGCATTCAGTGGGCTGGATTGGAAAGTGGTGAGAGTGGCGGAGGGATGGTTGTGCACGCGTGTGGTTCATGGGAGGCGCGTCCGGTGCTGCTGCTCGGCCCATGTGTGCCGTGTGCCATGTTCCGCTGGCTGGGTCGGAAGCAGTGACTGAGTGGCAGCTGGGCACGACCGAGGGACGGCTGTGCACGCGTGCTGTCCGTGGGAGGTGTGTGCTGTTGCAGAATCAGACTCCATGTTTTTCTCACAGTTTTTAACATGACCTTTCACCCGCCGGCATCATTTCAGTGGGACGAGTGCAAAGGTCAGAGTCCCTTTCATTGATTGAGTCTCCTGAGCACCTGCTGGGGTCACGTGCCATGTAACCCAGCATTTGCATCTGAGCGCGGCGCCCCCTTGGGCGCGGTGCACCCTGACAGCCACCCCCTGACGGGTGTCAGACCCTCTGTGAATGGAGGTCGTAAGATTGCTGAAGATGCTTGTGCGAGTGCTTCGACTTCTCCCTGGCACGCTGTCGGGGCGCAGTGGCCCTGGTGACAATGCCGCCTGTGCATTAAGAGCTCTCTGTGTGCCGACAGGAGGGCTCAGGGAAGGGAGGTGGCTGGAGATGAAACGGTACTGCTGCCTGTGAAGCCCAGCGAGTTTTGAATGAATGAAGGTTTTTTTTGCTTTTTTTTTTAAGTCAAAACCGTAAGGATATCAAGTGTTTAGTCTGGAGTCCTACTCTTCTCATGAATATCATGAGAGGCAGGAGCAAAGGTGGTATGAAGACAGTTGGCCGGGACTCTGGTGGGAGGCCCAGGCCTCAGCACCTGCTGGGGCCTCCGAAGGCTCTTCCGCTGTGACACGGGCGAGTCCCGAGTCCCCTGCTCGTAAGGGGATGCCGCTGGTGGAATCAGGCCCGTTTGTCTGAAAGGTGCCGTTGGACAGGTGTCAAAAGAGGTGTGGATGTGACAGGTGACCAAAGAGAGGCTTTTAAAAGGGGATTGTGGATTGCAGATGTATCCTGTCCATTTCCGTCCAACTTCCAGAGCTTAACTTCTGGCTGTCAAAGGTATCATTTTGCTGGATATCCTGTTTCTTAGCAGGTGAAAATAGGTAACTTACATCTTTCCGATATTTTCTGTTAGGGTCCAGAAAAAGATCACATTGGTAGTCTTGTCGCTGGTGTTGGAGCAAGGCCTGAGGGCCCCAGGTGCATCTGGACACCAGTGGGACCTCTCGTCACCACATGCGAGGTCAGGGTCCCCGCCTCGCTGTGGCCTCGTGTCCAGCAGCCCTCCTCCACCTCCCCGCTGTGGTTCCTGGGTGTTTGAACCCTCTGGCCTGCCCTCAGGCCCCGTCCTGCGGACCTCAGCTCCTTTTGGCCCTGGCGAACCCCGCTTAGCACACCCCCATCTCTGTCCCCTCGGCTTCAGGGGCAGCCCTCTCTGCGGTTCTCTGCCGGCCCCTGGTCATTCCTTCTCTGCTCTTGCTGGTCTCTTCAGCCCCGAATCCCTGTGAAATGTTGGGGGTCTCTTCTCCTGCCTTCCCAGGTGTCTTCTTTTGCTGCCTTGGTGACGGTGA